GTGTAGTGACTTTCAGGTAAAAAACCTCGTGTAGTGAAAATTACTGTTGTACACGTAAGGGTGAGGGTACATGTATGTGTGTGAGGGTGTGTGTGTACCACTTTTTGAAATCGGACCAAAACTAAAGGTACAACAGATTGAAAGCAATCCAACAGAACTTTTATTTATTATTTAAAGACAATATTTGTAGAAACCAAAAAAATATATAAAATAACATTATTATCTAGTAAAATGAACTTTATATTGAAATATGGTCAAAACCTTAGGAGAATTAGCATCTCATGTGAATTTATAGGCATTTCTATTTTTAGTCACCGTGAGAACGTCATATTTCAAAATCGAGACATATTGTCTAACCTTAATATAGTTTGAATCTCAATAAAGTTCTTTGTATAAGGCCCTAATCAGTAAAATTTTAATGTGTTTGTGTCATCATTTAAAACAGAAATATAAACTATTATAAATACTCATTTAATTCTTTGACCTAAAAATATTTCCATCAAGTATGAATATACTCTATGGAATTCAGGAGTTTGTGCATAGAATTAGCACAGAAGCCAATTGATTAAACATCGTAGTGCATTCTACCACGATTATTCAACGAAATTCCACGAAAAGTATTCTTAAACAAATCACGAACGTCATCAAAAACTTACCAGATCAGAAACACATATCAAACTTGAACAATTCAAACGCATGTATGGCTGTAAAATAAAATACTAATTCAGACTGTATCGATGTGTCGTCTTTTGCAGTATAAACACTGTAAATCGCATTAAGTTGCTGATGAATGTCGAATTTTGTAGCTCAGCGGGGCTATTCCACGGACCTCCCTACACACTCAAACAACGTGATTTTATAGTCCCAAACAGTGTAGTCCCCTGTAAAACAGAAGCATGATTTTTTTCTTGTATGTTCATTAAAATTAATCAATACATATAACGAACAAATTTGTAATTTAAAAAGGCCATTTTAAGGTTCATTGATACTCTGATAAGAGTACATGTTTGCAGACAAATTTTCCCTCTAATCTTACCCTAACAAAAAAATAGTATAGTAAACTATAGTTAACTATTGATAGTTTACAATAGTTAACTAAAGTAAATCAAAGTTCCAGCATAGTAAATCAAAGTTCCAAAATTTTTGCCATAGAAAATCAAAGTTCTAAAGTTCTAACTATAGTGAATCAACGTTCCAAAGTTTTTAATTTAGTAAGTCAAAGTTCCAAGGTTTTGGCCATATTTAATCAAATTTTCAAAGTTTTTTGGTAATTACTTTAACAACTTATGCATATTTAAATTAAGTTTTTAGCTCACCTGAGCCGAAGGCTCAAGTGAGCTTTTCTGATCACATTTTGTCCGTCGTCCGTCTGTCTGTCTGTCTGTCTGTCTGTCTGTCCGTCTGTAAACTTTTCACATTTCGACTTCTTCTCAAGAACCACTGAGCCAATTTTGATCAAACTTGATACAAAGCATCCTTGGGTGAAGGGAAATTTAAAATTTTAAAATGAAGGGACATATCCCCTCGCAAGGGGAGATAATTAAGAAAAGACAAAAATAGGGTTGGGTCATTAAAAAATCTTCTTCTCAAGAACCACTGGGCCAGAAAAGCTGAAACTTATGTGAAAGCATCCTGGTATAGTGTAGATTCTAAATTGTTCACATCATGACCCCTGGGTGAAGGGCGGGGCCACAATGGGGGATCAAAGTTTTATATAGAAAGATATAGGAAAAATCTTTGAAAATCTTCTTCTCAAGAACCACTGGGCCAGAAAAGCTGACCTTATGTGGAAGCATCCTGGTATAGTGTAGATTCTAAATTGTTCAAATCATGACCCCCGGGGGAAGGTCGGGGCCACAATAGGATATCAAAGTTTTACATAGAAAGATATAGGAAAATCTTTGAAAATCTTCTTCTCAAGAACCACCGGGCTAAAAAAGCTGAAACTTATGTGAAAGCATCCTGGTATAGTGTAGATTCTAAATTGTTCACATCATGACCCCCGGGGAAGGGCGGGGCCACAATGGGGGATCAAAATTTTATATAGAAATATATAAGAAAAATCTTTGAAAATCTTCTTCTCAAGAACCACTAGGCCAGAAAAGCTGAAACTTATGTGGAAGCATCCTGGTATAGTGTAGATTCTAAATTGTTCAAATCATGACCCCCGAGGGAAGGTCGGGGCCACAATAGGATATCAAAGTTTTACATAGAAAGATATAGGAAAAATCTTTGAAAATCTTCTGCTCAAGAACCACTGGGCCAGAAAAGCTGAAACTTATGTGGAAACATCCTGGTATAATCTAGATTCTTAATTGTTCCAATAATGACCCCCGGGGGAAGGGCGGGGCCACAATGGGGAATCAAAGTTTTTTTATAGAAATATATAGGAAAAATCTTTGAAAATCTTCTTCTCAAGAACCACTGGGCTAGAAAAGCTGAAACTTATGTGGAAGCATCCTGGTATAGTGTAGATTCTAAATTGTTCAAATCATGACCCCCGGGGGAAAGGCGGGGCCCTAATAGGATATCAAAGTTTTACATAGAAAGATATAGGAAAAATCTTTGAAAATCTTCTGCTCAAGAACCAATGGGCCAGAAAAACTGAAACTTATGTAGAAACATCCTGGTATAATGTAGATTCTAAATTGTTCCAATAATGACCCCCGGGGGAAGGGCGGGGCCACAATGGGGAATCAAATTTTTATATAGAAATATATAGGAAAAAATCTTTGAAAAACTTCTTCTCAAGAACCACTGGGCCAGAAAAGCTGAAACTTATGTGGAAGCATCCTGGGGTAGTGTAGATTTTAATTTGTTCACTTCATGACCCCCTGGGGAAGGGCGGGGCCACAATGGGGAATCAAAGTTTTATATAGAAATATATAAGAAAAAATTTTGAAAATCTTCTTCTCAAGAACCACTGGGCCAGAAAAGCTGAAACTTATGTGGAAGCATCCTGGTTTAATGTAGATTCTAAATTGTTCAAATAATGACCCCTGGAGGAAGGCCGGGGCCACAATGGGTAATCAAAGTTTTATATAGAAAGATATAGGAAAAATCTTTGAAAATCTTCTTCTCAAGAACCACTGGGCCAGAAAAAGTGAAGCTTATGTGGAAGCATTCTGGGGTAGTGTAAATTCTAGATTGTAGGATTCATGACCCCGGGAAAAGGGTGGGGCCATTATAGGGAATCAAAGTTTTACATAGAAATATATAGGAAAAATCTTTGAAAATCTTCTTCTCAGGAACCACTGGGCCAAAAAAGCTGAGACTTATGTGGACGCATCATGGTATAGTGTAGATTCTAAATTGTTCAAATCATGACCCCTGGGGGAAGGGCGGGGCGACAATGGGATATCAAAGTTTTACATAGAATGATAAAGGAAAATCTTTGAAAATATTCTTCTCATATGTGCCCATGGAAGGATCATTGGGTAGTGTAGATTTCAAAATGTCTTAATTATGATCAGTGGGGTAGAGTGGGGATGCATCATGTAAGGGGGAAATCTGGTAAAGAACAGAATGGTTAAAGCTTCTCAGGTGAGCGATGTGGCCCATGGGCCTCTTGTTTATTTATCATTTAACTTTGTAAGGGAAATGCTACTGTATCTGGTTTGTTGAGGCTGATTTTTCTTGTTCATCTTAATTTAAATATGCAAAGTAATTAATGTAAATGCTGTATTTACATTTAACAGTAAATAAACATGCTGACTGAAGGTCATAAAGTAAATATTTTAATTTTAAATGGCACAATTTGTATCTTATAGAATTTTTTTTTCTGCATAAAAGATACTTACGTTATATCTGCACACCATTAAAATTAAATAAATTTAAATATATATGTCTTATTTATCGCGAAAGAGACAATTTGTAACATTACAATACATATATTATACATTATTGTTTTAGGGGACAGGTTTTTTTTCTTTAGTTCTCTGACGCTTTTTTGTATCTTAATCTTGAAAGTTCATAAAATTTACAGAATGGGAAGCAAAAACATAATTCCATATAACTCGAAGTTCTAAAGTTTTCACTATTGTAGATCAGAGTTCCAAAGTTTTCACTAATAGTAAATCAAAGTTCCAAAGTTGCCACCATAGTAAATCAAAATTCCAAAATTTTCACCATGGTAAATCAAAGTTCCAAAGTTTTTACTATAGTTAATCAAAGTTTCAAAGTTTTCACCATAGTTAATCAAAGTTCCAAAGTTTTTTAATTTAGAAAATTAAAGTTCCAAAGTTTTCGCAATAGTGAATCAAAGTTCCAAAATTTTAACTTTGGTACTTTAGTTAACTAAAGTAAACTATTGTCAGCTATAGTTTACTTTAATATTCTTTGTTAGGGTATAAATGTAAGAGCTTACAATCGAGACATCTTGACCTATGTCGTTTTTCTATAGAGGAAACGATCAGCCGTATTTCAACGATTTTAGTAGAATAGAAAAACAGTCCTTATTGTCGTGATTGATGCTGGATAACTCTTCGGTCTCGTAATGTTGTTTGAAATATAAAAACCTCGGCTAACGCCTCAGCTATTTTCTTTCAAACAATATTTCTCGACCTCGAAGGTTATGCTGCAATATTCACGAAAACGTGAATTTTATTTCTTAAATCAACACATTCTGAGAGTTATAACTTTTTTTTACATGCTTTTGAATCCGCTATTCCACATGCTAGAAGTTCCAGTTCATGTCTCTATTTGCCCCGCTCTGCAAATGATTATTTTTGTTATTATTATTTTTTCCATTGATGAACGAGTAGATATATGTAGAAAAAAATGAACATTAACAATTGGTAATTTTATCTCGGATTAAGACATTGGAAATGTCAATATTTTTGTACCAAACCCTAATAAGTAATATTTCAATGTATTAGGCATATAAAAAGCGAAATATAAATTATACAAATGCTCATCCAATTTTTTGTCTGTAGAACATTTAACAAGTGTCACGGGTCTCTCATCTCAGGAAATGATAATGCAACACAATAGTTCCTCAATAAAGGTTCATTTACTTTATTACTTGAAAATTGTAGACCACGGGGCAATCATGAGACAACCAAATACTCACGTGACACGGAACACCAGACAAACAAGAATACAATACAAACACGATGACAATGAATGACCAGTTATGAATGAATGAATGAAAGAAAGGAATATACTACAGCTATCTACTACACTAACTTAATATACTAACTGTACTAAATAATTATACTAAATAAAATAAAAACAAGTAATTGTCACCCTGTGACATAAGTATGCATTTACTCCACTGAATTTAGTAGATCATTAGTCCGTCACTATATTCATGACATTTTCACTCTTAGTGTCTACTATATCTTAAAATATCACATATCTACATGTATCATTTCATTATTAAGATAGAACTGAATTGAAAAAAGCAGATTCAAATCCGTATTACTTCTATTAAATACAATAGGCCCATGAGCCCCATCGCTCACCTGAGCACTGTGGATAGGAGAAGGTAGAAATTGGTTTATTAATGAAAAGTTCAAATCCAAAAGTAGTCCCATGACCATCCATGGCTTTGCTATTTTTGAGAAGATGATTTTAAAACAATTCTCCTACATATTTCTATGTAAAATTCTGTTTGGCCATTTAGGCCCTGCCCTACCCCCGGGGGTCATGATTTGAACATACATGAATCTACACAACATTAGGACACTTCCATATAAATATGATCAATTATGGCTTTGCTATTCTTGAAAAAAATATTGTTAAAATAATTTCTATATATTTCTCTGCAATAATTTGATCGGCCGTTTTGGCCTACACCATACCCCCGGGGGTCATGATTTAAACAATTTGAATCTACACAATCTGAGGATGCTTCGATATGAATATGATCATTTATGGCTTTGCAATTCTTTAAAAGAAAATCTCTAAAGAATTTTCCTATATGTTTCTATATAAAATTTAGGCCATTGTGGCCCCGCCCTACCTCTGGGGGCCATGATTTGAACAAACTTGAATCTACACAATCTGATGATGCTTCCCCATAAGTTTCATCTTCCCTGGCACAGGGGTTCTTGACGAAGATTTTAAAAACATACCACCAAATTTTCTTTAATTCCAAAATTTCTCCCATTGAATGAGGGCATGGCCCTTCATTTGAACAAACTTGAATCACCTTCACCCAAGGATGCCTTGTGGTAAGTTTGGTTATAATTGGCCCAGCGGTTCTTGAGAAGAAGTCGAAAATGTGAAAAGTTTACGACAACGACAACAACGAAAACAACGACAGACGACGGACAAATTTTGATCAGAAAAGCTTACTTGAGCCTTCGTCTCAGGTGAGCTAAAGTGAGTTCAAATGGCCAGAGTCTACTTGAACACAAAACATACATTAAATTGATCTTAAGTCATCAAAATTAATATCATTTCTTCAATTCATATCAATTTGTTTATTTTTTCATAAAATATTTTTTCTTAGCCGACCACAACCACAACGTCTAAACAGAAAAAAAGGAGACACTGTATTTATAAACAGTGGATTGACACTCTTGCCTATGTATGTCTTTGTTCAGCTCTATGTAGATTCCAAAATTCGGACAGTTTGGTGGCGTTAAATGGATGTTGGTTTATAAACGGATGCAATGGACAAACCATTTCACCATCTTTTTGATAAACGTATTCGTCCAGCACAAATCCCCCACTGATATCCACTGCAATCATCTTAGTACAGTCTTCTTCACATCTAAAGCCTCTTTCGTACATCAAACCTCTGTGAAAGGTTCCCGCAATGACATTTAACATAACCTCTATAGTTTCCTGAATTTTGCAAGTTTCATCTTTTCTTAACGAACATCCCTTAACATGGTGAAATACTTGTAACTGTATTGATGTTTCTGTGACAGATAGGACGACATTGTATTCATGAACAGAAAACAAAGCGGCGTTTCTGTACAGACATGATGTTTCATTAGTCATACGTACTTCCCAACCCTTTAACTGCATACAAGACACAACGAGACGGAAAAAGAGGAAGAATGGCAAGAAACTAAATCTGTAGATAAGTATAGATGTTTTACTCTCCGACTTTTGAATTTGATCAGTAATAGCAGATTCAATTTCTTTCCGATTCATGCATGGAACATAATGGGATTCCTCACCAACTGCCATCAAACCAAGTCTTTGCATGTAACTGAGTAGATTTTCTTTGTGATAGAGTAGATATCTAGGATCATCTTTATCGTCGGAATCGGATTCACCTGTACCCGATTCATTTCTTCTTCCAACTTATCATCTTTATGTTTCCAGATCTCCGTCAGAAGTCGGTCTCTTAAATTCCCTGTCGTGTAGTATTCATCCCAATCCTTCTGTGCAGCAGGAATACCTTGAAAATGAAGTTTGTCAGTGAGGATGTGTTTGAAAGCGTCAATAAACCACTGAACATCAATAATGACGTATTGTTTAAGTCCCTCCTCATTAAAATACACAACCTTTCCCGCGTCATGGTAATATCGTAACATATCCTTCTTTAATTTCAATTCCTCTTCCTGTTCGTCATTGCCATCGGTAAGCTTTGTTGTTAACTGCTCAATGTCTAAAATCCTCTCCGATTCTTTCTTCTGATTTATTTCTATTTCAAAGAAGGCCCACTCCTTAGGAATATTTTCTTTCCATCGCTGATGAGATGCTATGCCAAAAATATGTTGCTGCAGATCATGAAGTGTTTCGTCAGGGAAGTAAGTACAGTAACAGTTTTTCTCTACTATGTACTGTGAAAAATTGGACTCTTTCGGAAGTTTTTGTTGCAAGCTGTGTAAAAGAGCATTTTTATCCTGTAAAGAGAAATCACTTAATATTTTACTATTTTTTTTCCTGAATCATATTTATCTAGGTTCATTTGATGGAAAAAAGAACCTAATACTGATGTAGTAAGGCGAATAAAAATAACTTGTTCTAACCATAACATAATTGAATAAAGACTCACTGCAATTTAAACTAGGGGAGAATATTTTAAGTGAAAGTAAACAATTCCTAAATTATTTCGATTGTTATTTATTTGATTCTTAATGATCAAGATATTTCATTCTTTAAATTATTCTACCCCCGTAAACGAAGTTTTTGTCGAGTCCGTCTGTCCGTCTGTTTGTCTCTTTGTCCGCAAAAACTGTAACCTTGTCCATAACTTTTGATTTACTGGAGCACTGACTATCATATTTCATATGTGTATTCCTTGTGACAAGATCTTTCTTTCGGTACAACCAAATTTGACCTTTGGACCTTGACCTTGGAATTTGACCCACTTTTGCAGAAAAAATGCAATTTTTTTACTTTTTCCATAACTTTTGAACGGTAGATACCAGGGCATTTGTACTTCACATATATATTCTTTGTGGCAAGACATTTCACTGGATACCATCAAACTTGACCGTTTGCCTTGACCTTGGAGATTTATGTACTAATGATAAATCATTAACTTTGGCAATGACTTTTGAACGGAAAAGGCTAGAACTTTCATACTTCACATATGTAATCCTTGTAATAAGACGCTTCATCGGATACCAAAAGCTTTGACCCTTTGACCTTGACCTTGAACTTTGACCTGCTTTTAAAAAAATAATTCTTCATGCTATATTTTAAAGGGTAAGAGCTAGTGCTTTCATATTTCACATTGTAATTCTTGTGACAAGACCCTTAATTTTGTATCAAGATCTTTGACTCCTTGACCTTGCTCTAATTAGAGTTTGACCTGCTTTAAAAATCTTAACCTTGGCCATAACTCTTTAACGGTTAAGGCTAGACCTTCCATATTTCATTAATGTTTTCTTTGTAGCAAGAGCATTGTTTGGATACCAATAACCTTGACCTTTTGACCTTGAAGATTTATTTATTTATGATAAAACTTTAGCCTGACCATAACTTGGGAACAGATTATGATAGAGCTTTCATATTTTACAATTGTATTTCCAGTTAGGAGACCCTACTTCGGGTACAATTATATTAAATTTGCTCCTAAGAAAAGTTTAATCTTTACAATGTTGCCATCGGGGGCATCAGTGTTTTACAAACACATCTTGTTATACATAATTCCTGACGGTTTTACCTGATACTGTCTGTGTTCTTTTTCCCAATGAGTCGCCACGATAAGTACGGTTGGTTTAGAATCTTTGTCAATGTTAGAACTACTGTACAGTAAGTGTGGATAGACTTTATCCAGAAAACAAAATAGTCTACAATATAATAAATGTAGTCTGCCTTACAATGCATATCAATTATAAAAATTGTAACAAACATGGAAAATAAGACTAAATGTAAATCAATAAAAATTCTTTACTTTGCTCAATTAAAGAGTTATTCGTAAGAATAGAATGTATTCAAATTATAATGATCATTACGTTGATTTCTTTGAAACTTTCAGGATGTTATCCCTACCAAAATCCAATGCACAAAATGAATTAAACAAATGTTTATATCTAACATTTTATTTTAAAATTCCTACATAAGATAGAAAAAATGTCATTAAAAACAATTAACCATACGATTTAAGCAGCACTGTTACAACGCGAAATGTAAAAAACTTTGATTTTTACATTTTGCGTTATAACATTTTGCGTCGAAATCAACGCAGAATGTAATAACGCAAAATGTAACTACACATTTTGGAGAATTATTACATTTTGCGTTATTACGTTTTGCGTCGAGATCAACGCAAAATGTGTTAACGCAAAAAGTAATAACACGATTTTTAGGTCACCTGAGTAAACTCAGGTGACCTATTGCTATCTGTTTTCGTCCGTCGTCGTTCGTCGTGCATTAACATTTGAACATTTTCAGCTTCTTCTCTGCAACCACTGAACCAATTTCAACCAAATTTGGCACAAAGCATATATGGGTTAAGGGGAACAAAAATTGTGAATTTCATGATCCCTGCCCCCCTGGGGCCTGAGGGGTTAGACCAAAACCACTAAAATTAATGCAATCTTTAAAAATCTTCATCTTTACTCCTGGACATCAAGCAGTCAAACTGTTTGCATGATTGTAATTAGCAATGGGTCGTCTACCAAAATTGTGAAATTCGTGGCCCTGGGGTCAGGGGTTCTGGTGTTAGGGCGGGGCTAAATAAGTATATAGTGAAAATGCATTATTTCTTTGAAAATCTTCTTCTATGCTCCTGGGTATTAAAAAAACCAACTAAGTACATAGTTATGATGAGCAAGAGTGCCTCTACCAAAATTGTGAATTTTATGGCCCCAGGGTCAGGGGTTCTGGTGTTAGGGCGGGGCTCTATTGATTATATAATGAAAATACATGTACATGAATTATTTGAAAATCTTTTTCTCTGCTTCTTGGTATTAAATGAACTAACTAAGTACATAGTTATGATAAGCAAGAGTGCCTTTACCAAAATTGTGAATTTTATGGCCCTAGGGTCAGGGGTTCTTGTTTTAGGACGGGGGGGGGGGGGGCTCTAATGGTTATATAGTGAAATGCATGAATTCTTTGAACATCTTATCCTTTGCTCCTGGTTAATATACTAATGATCTATTTGCATATTGAAGGCCAGGATTTATTCTATTTTCAGTATTACAAACCCCCTACTCAGAAGAAATAAAACGATTTTTTTCTTTCCGATGTCAAATTTGAGTCGGGATCGAGATTTCTAATTTACGAACTCGCACTTCCGGTTTTAAGATGAAACTGCGGGTAAATAAAGCTAGAGGTAGCTTGGTTTAGTGTAAAATTCATCGATACGAGTGCCATTCAAAACGTTTCACCCGTTCAAAGGACAAATAAAATGCTGACGACTTTGTTGCACAATGACATGCTGGTGAGATAATTATGTATTCGTTTCAAAAGTAACTGTAAATTAGTTTCCTCCCCCAGGATTTAAACTGCCCGTGGTAGCTATTGCATATTGCCAGGGACATTGTTTAGGTCTCTGTTATAGCTTACAGTCTAAGCATCATTCTTCAGAAAAGGGTTGCTTATGCATCAGATATAATGAATAAAACTATGGGAGAAGTGAAGTCCATTTGAGGAAGAAATAAACAATAACCTGAAGAAATAAAAAAAAAATTCAACTATTAAAAGGCAAGAATATACAAATATATACAGGCATGTAGTATCATTTATATCAGCCAGAAAAATTATTTTACACTTAATTGAAAAAATATTGATCCTACTCCCCAATACTCCCTGTCTGTTTTATGATAGGAATTATAACTGTCTGTTTTATGATAGGAATTATAATTTTAGGCATCAAGTAATTTTTTGAGCAATGTCTACACATTCACCTAACACAAATTAAAAAAATGAAGATATATTGAAAGACTTTTAAAGAATCGATTTTTTAAAATATATTTTGATCAACATCACAAAATTTATACAACTGGCCCAAACTGGCAGATGATGAAATAAGCAATTACATGTTCTACTTTCCTGTTTGTAAGCATTATGTGTCCAGTGGTAAGGAGCCTATTAGGATAGCATAAAAAAGAATGTACAAATGTTAATAATTGATTTATCAAAAAAAATATATTTCCTTCTCCTTCGGGACTTTTTTTATTCTCATGTTCATAACTAAACCTAAACATTAAAAAAAATGCTGGCCTTATAACGAAGAAAGGGGCCTCTTTCAAAATAGATAATTTCATGGGGATACTTTGACTAAAAATAAATTTATGCTTCGAAATCTGCCCTTTGATAAGCAATTGTGCCTCTTTCAAAATTTGTGAATTTCATGGCTTTTGGTTTAAAACACGAACCAAATACAATCGCTGGAAAGTTGTTACATGATACTCAGGTGACCTATAAGACCCAAGGGCCTCTTTTTGGATTATGACATCTTGCGTTGTTACATTTTGAGTCGAGATTAAGCAAATTGCAGGAACGCAAAATGTAATAACACATTTTGTCGTCGGCCAGATTGAGCACAATTTTCAAAAGTGTAGTGGCCGACGAAAAGATGATAAAACAAAAAAAAAAAGAACAATTTCTTACAATTAATAAATTCATAATTGTTTAATTTAATTAGTTACATGTATGTAAAATCAGTTAAATAAATGTATTCATATAAAATGTGTTGTAAATTAGAAACGTTCATCTGTGGGCAAGGTTGTTGGAGGTATTGACCAGTGTACTTTTGCTTTTTTATAGACAAATGCAATGAATCTTAAAAAATATTCATTTGTACTAGTAGGTGTAAATGTATAGCGGGAAGGGGTGAATGACAACAATGATGCCATACTGTTCCATGCAAATCTCCAGCATTGCAGACATGCAAAATCAAAATTCTCTCTCTTTCTTTCCATCCTATAATAAAACGGTTTCTGCATGTCCACAGTAATATGTAATAATAAACATTCGAAGTAAACACCCCGCCCTATCCCTGCCCCTTCGATCCTCGCTTGACACACACATACACTTCTATTCATTTGTTAACTAATGTGTAGGTGCCGAAAATGCATATCAAGAGCTTTTAATGAACCTGTAGTAAATCTTTGTTAATGAAATATGTTTTATTCGTTAGAAATCTAATAAAACTATCAAAAATATGCCAATCAAAGTTAAATTAATTCCTCATAATTAAGTACAGTGAATTCAATGTAACTAAAATCAGAGTCAGAAAAACGATTCATTTTGATGTATTTATGTCCGGAAAAAGCCCGAACGTTGGTCTCATTGTTTAGTGCAAAATATTTTTACAGCGCGTTTCCTATGTTGGTTGCATGTATATACATGTATTTCAATCAATTTTATGATTATAATTTTAATCCATAGTTAATCATACTGATGTACCCTGCTCACGGTGAAGTGTCGATTTTCATGAGTGTAAAAAAAGGGGGGATAAACAAACAAGCCCTCAAAAAATCTCTGAATAAAAAGACAACCGGTTAAAGTTCAATCTAAAAAAACATCCACTATTTGATTGGATATAGATACTGGTAAAATGGAGATTAAAACCTTCTACAACCATTAACAATAAATAATTCTATAATAAATTATCAGTTAGAGAATATGCTAAGGGAAAAAGAATAAAATTACGGAAGATGATATGTAGATGCCACGAAAATTTTGCTAAAAATATTTTTTTCAAAAATTACTTTTGTTTCGAATCTGGACTGCAATATGTTAAGGAATTAAATACAGCTATCGTAGACGTTTCCCAAAAGCATTGTCCCAATGTTGAAGAAAAAAATCAATATTACATCGACAGTGTTAATATGAATAAGGATATTTATAAACCAGAAGAAAAATAAAAAAAAAAAAAAAACTTCATAGATTACGCTAAAATTCGTACGAAATTCTGGCTTATGTCAGATGCGACATCTTTTGAGAATATATCACTGATAAAGCAAAAGGTACTAGTAAAAAGTGGTTATGGGTGTGATTTCAAAAAATTATGAAGACGTTTTAACTCATAAAACACATTAACATGGCTTGAGACGATGGTTGAAATTGAGATACTGATTACTGAAGTTTATAACGTAATCTTAACATGGCTTTAAGGTGCTGCTTCTCAAGAAAAATATTGTCCTTTACACTTGCACACGCAAGTTGCATTGGGAGGGGGGGGGGTACATTGAAAGTCAGCCCCCACTTTTTGCTGCAGAATAGTCAAAACAAAACAGACCAGATAACAAGGAATTGTATTACGTTTGATTAGGAAAATTATAGTGTGCATATATAAAATTAAAGAGATAGGAACAGTACAATTGACCATATTTTTGATGAAATTACATGCATACAATATACACTTTGCAAACATTATTTTTTCATCATTGTAGCGGTCCTTCTAAGAAACACCGAGTATACATATGTTGTGTTCGAGTGAAACGGGGTATAGGTGCCTCAAAGTTAAACAAAAAAACAGTGAATATTCAGAAATATTTGTCAGATTTTAAATGTGATTTGCTTTAAAAAGTAAAAAGTTCAAGACAGTTTATAAACCATTTATAAGACTATCCTTCCACATTACTACTTGCCTCTTTATTATGTTTCTACTCAATCACAAAGACAATGACTTATATAAACAATGGGAACTTAGTACTTTAAACATTTTTATAAAATAGTCAAAAATGTCAAATAAAAAAATAGCGAACATATTTTTTTAATTCATGAAATTTTATAAACGCGGAATAAAGGTTTTTAAAAACGAGTTTACAATACATGTATCTCGTCTTATCCGAATTACCTCTCATTTGAATTTTTGGGTTAAAATACACGGTGTTTAAATCTTATCCGATGTTACAGTTAAGGGGGATAAAGTTACTGACGTGTGTGTTGTAAGTGGATGCTGACTGATAAACGAAAATTTTACTTTAAAAAATATCGGGATCGCGCTTTGTACGAGGGGATGCCCCGTTTAGCGAGCGGTGTCCTTCTGGGATCTCTCTCTCTCTCGCTCTTAATCTTTAAATGTAACAAGTGCTATATATATTTTATAAACTGAGGTAGATTATTTTATATTGAAAAAATGGCATGGATTTAAACAAGTTTTACTTTTCCTACCGAATTCATTATAAATCGTTCCTAGATTCTGTCTAGACCCTCAACCCCGTTTACGTAATTATTATGTTCCCCAAACGAAGTTGGGGAACATATTGTTTTTACTCTGTTTCTTATTAAGGTCTTCCGTCTCCAACGGAAGACCTTATTGTTTTCGTTCGGTTTCTTTTTCCCTATTATTATTATTATTATTAGGGTCTTCCGTCTCCAACGGAAGACCCTTCTATTATTCTATTGTTTCTTTTTCACTTTTATTATTCTTTTTTTTTTCTTTACAATTTTTGTGCAGAAGATTTCTCAGAGATGGCTCAATCGATTGTGTTCAAATTTTCAGAGATTATGTGTTTCTATCTGAAGTTTGTACCCCCGACTCAATTTTGAAAAAATCACTTCCGGTCGGAAGTTATCGCCCTTTCAATGATTTTTAGAGGGTCTCCTTGTCCATGAGTAAACTCAAAAACGACATTAGTTAGAGAGCTGAAATTTTCAGCGATGATAGACGACACCTTGCTGATATGCACATTGGATTTAGAATTTTTCAGAAAGGTCAAATATGGAAGCCCGGTAGGGGTCGAAATCTAGGACACGAATCATGAGTGAATTTTCGAGACATTTTGTATCATATCTTTTAAAGTATAATTATTTTGTTAAGACATACTGAACAATATTTGTGGGGAATGCCAAGATCTTTCATATGATACCAGAAAAAAGTGCTGACTCATCAAATTAAGGGGGAAAAGGGGCCAAAAGTATTACTTCAATAACTGTTTAGCAATCAGTATTTTGTTACACATTACTAAGCAAAAATGTTTATCTTAACAATCTATAACTATATATCCTAATTTTTAGGTTGCATGTTACACAATTAGGGGCCACAAAGGGCCAGAATGCTAAATATTTGCCGCTTTATATCTCGAAAGTGAGAAATATTTTGATAAGTATTATTGAACAAAAGATGTTCAAAAAAATGTTCTGAACAATATGCAACTTTTAATTTTTCGCTAAACGTCCCCATTAAGGAGTTAAAGGGTTGGCCCCTAAATATTTCTTTTGCAAATAACTGGAAAACAAAAATGAATCTCTGAATAGTTGTTGAACAAAAAGTGTTCAAATTCTTGAGAGCTTTAAAGTAAAATCAAGAAAGAAGGGCTGGGCACTCAAATTAGGGGCCAAAAAGGGCCAAAATTCTTCAATCGATAACTCTTTATCAGTTCATATTTTGTAATACATTACTGAAGCAAAGATGTTTATCTCAACCATTTACAACTATATATTATGAATTTTATGTGTTATATTATATATTAAGGGGCCACAAGGGGCCAGAATGCTTAATCTTTGACGCTTTATATCTCGAAAGTGAGAAATATTTTGATAAGCATTATTGAACAAAAGCTGTTCAAAATAATGATCTAAACAATATGCAACCTTCCATTTTTTGCTAAATGTCCCCATTAAGGAGTTGAAGGGTTGGCCCCTAAATATTTCTTTTACAAATAACTGGAAAACGAAAATGAATCTCTGAATAGTTGTTGAGCAAAAAAGTGTTCAAATTCTTGAGAGCTTTAAGGTAAAATCAAGAAAAAAGGGCTGGACACTCAAATTAGGGGCCAAAAAGGGCCAAAAGTCTTCAATCGATAACTCTTTATCAGTTCATATTTTGTAATACATTACTGAAGCAAAGATGTTTATCTCAACCATTTACAACCTTATTTTATGAATTTTATTTCTTAAATTACATATTAAGGGGCCACAAGGGGCCAGAATGCTTAATCTTTGACGCTTTATATATATTAAAAATATTTAGTTAAGCATTATTGAGCAAAAGATGTTCAAAATAATGTTCTAAACAATATGCAACCTTTAATTTTTCGCTAAACGTCCCCATTAAGGAGTTGAAGGGTTGGCCCCTAAATATTTCTTTTGCAAATAACTGGAAAACGAAAATGAATCTCTGAATAGTTGTTAAACAAAAAGTGTTCAAAATCCTCAGAGATTTACAATGACTTGCAGAGAAGAGGGGCAGACCCCTCATAAAAGGGGTCAAAGGGGACCGAAAGTCGAATTTATGAGCATTTTAAAATGTTTAATATCTTTTAACACATTACGTAAGCAAAATCGTTTTCCTTAAAAATATAATCATTATCTCCGAATAAAAATCTCAATCAAAATCTTATCTCATCTCATCGAGAATCGGACGGAAGACCCACTCGTTGCTCCCAACGAGATCGTATCTAGTTATTATTCTTTTTTTTTCTTACCGATTTTGTGCACGCGAGTTCTCGAAAACGGCTGAATCGATTTTCACGAAACTTTCAGATCTGATAGATATTGGTCTGAACCTAATTGGAAATTTTTTATATGTACGTCGTCACTTCTGGTCGTGAGATATGGACGATTTTCTGATTTTCAGAGGGTCAGCTTGTCCTGGCAATCACTAAAAACGAATGAAGATATTGACTTGAGATTTTCAGTGAAGGTAGATGAAGGATTGCTGAAGTGCTTTTTGAGTCTATATCTTTCCAGCGCATAAAGCGTTGAAGCTCGCCTGAGCTCGTTTTTATCATTATTTTTCTGACCATCTAATTTTGTGTACGCGATTTCTCGGAGACTACTGGATGGATTGTCATAAAATTTGCAGGAACAACGTGTTGTTATGTGAAGTTATTTTATCCAAGAGATTTTTTGGAAATTCCTTTCTGGTGCCAAGTTACGGACAATTTTCTGATTTTAAAATGACATTTTGTTCGCGGATAATCTCAAGA